GTGGTGTAGCGGTTAGCGCGCTGCTCTGCGAACCGGCGCCCGAGTCCGATTCCCGGCCAACATCAGAGAAGATGATCTGAATCAGTCCTGAGCCTTAAATGAGTACCCGAAGCATTTGTAAACATCGCCACTGGGGAGACAAAGGCGGCCGGGCGTGGTCCTGGCCACTCACCCCTCATGAGCCGTGCGGGCCTTCATAGGTGCTCGCAAACAGCACTTGCCCCAACAGCCTCTTAAGGCTATCCAAGGGATCTTTGTTTTTTTCTTAGTATTTTTATGCTCACTCACTCACCCACTCACTCACCCACTCACTCACTCACCCACCCACTCTCTCACCCACTCACTCACCGCTCACTCACTCATCCACTCACCCACTGACTCACCCACTAACTCACCCACTCACTCACCCACTCACTCACCCACCCACTCACTCACCCACTCACTCACCCACTCCCCACTCACCCACCCACTCACTCACTCACCCACTCACCCACTCACTCACTCACCCACTCCCCACCACTCACTCACCCACTCACTCACTCACTCACCCACTCACCACTCACCACCCACTCACTCACTCACTCACCCACTCACTCACTCACTCACTCACCCACTCACTCACTCACTCACTCACCCACCCACTCACTCACTCACCCACTCACTCACTCACTCACCCACACTCACTCACCACCCACTCACTCACTCACCCACTCACTCACTCATTCACCCACTCACCCACTCACCCACTCACTCACCACCCACTCACTCACTCACTCACCACTCACCCACTCACTCACTCACCACACCCACTCACACTCACTCACCCACTCACTCACTCGCTCACCCACTCACTCACCCACTCACACTCACCCCACCCACCCACTCACTCACTCACTCACCCACTCACTCACCACTCGCCCACCCACCCACTCACCACTCGCTCACCCACTCCCCACTCACCCACTCACTCACCCACCCACTCCCACTCACCCACTCACCACCCACTCACTCACCCACTCACTCACCCACCCACTCACTCACCACTCACCCACACCCACTCACACCACCCACTCACTCACCACCACTCATCCTCACCCACTCACCACCATCACTCACTCACCCACTCACTCACCCACTCACTCACCACTCACCCACTCACCACTCACCCACTCACCCACCACTCACTCACTCACTCACCCACTCACCCACTCACCCACCCACTCACTCACTCACTCACCCACTCACTCACTCACCTCCTCACCACACTACAAGCCACCTCACTTCTATCTCCGCTTCTTCCCTCGCACTGCTCCACTCTGTAATTCCCTCTCCCGTGGTCATCGCCTGTGGTCCACAAGCTCTAATAGCTAATGATGATCACTCTCATCGATTACAACTCTGATAATCGTGCTGTTTGTTGCTGGCTGCTGGGCGCTCTGGGCCTTTAATGACCGACAAAGACAAAGATCCCCCGTGCAGCCTCTTCAGCCTGTCGAGGCAAGTGATCTCAACGAGCAACAAGTACGTCCGACTCGGCAGACACGGGGTGGGTAGCCAGCGTCACGCCCGACCGCCTTTGTCTCCCCAATGCTGATCTTTACACACCGCACCGGGTACTCGTTTAAGGCTGAGTCGATCTTGGGGAGGCCCAGAACCGGTTCAGATAATCGTCACAATTTTTTAGCCGTGAACGGGAATTGAATTCGGATCCCCTGGATCGCAGATGCATTGCGCTAACCGCAGCGCCACCACTCCTCACCGACCTGGCACCCCCGCACAACGCCCGCGAGCAGCATTCAGTGCAGAACTCGTCGGAAATTGCAGTAAAAAGTTTAGCAAAAAACATCTTACAAAATTAGATAATTGCCTTGTGCTTTAATGAGGTCATGATGAAGAGGCGCACGTGTTCCCACAGCCACGCGCGTGTCATTTGGGTTACGCCGCGGATATCATCATCATCATTATCCGGAGAGTGGAGAGATGTTATTTTTGTCTAACTAACCAACGTCTATCAGTTTACACATCTCCCACGCGAATTTGTACAGGAACAGGTCCTCACGTGAAGCCGTCAACTCAACGGCGGTGTCCCCGCTCAGCTGATGGAGGGGTCGAGCGCGCTGAGCGAATTTCATCTCCCGGAGCGGCAGCTGCTCAACACCCCCCCCCCCCCCCTCCCCCTCCCCCCCACTCCCCCCACTCCCCACCACCCGCTCCTCCGCCTGCTATTCGTCGACAGTATTGGCAGGTCGCGTTGTGGTGGGGCACAGAGTGGCTACCCCCCAGCTATTCCACGATGTGCTGCCTGAGCGCGTGATCGAGTCGACCAAGTGCCACTCTCGATGGAGCTGCCTCAAGTCGAGCCTCTTCATCCAGCAGTGGAGCGAACAAGCGAGCGATCGCAGGGCTGTTCTTTATCTGCCTCGCACATGACTACGGTAGCTTCGGGATGCAGCACGTGTACAGCGGTGTGTGTGTGTGCCGTGCACGCTCTGTGTACGAGTTGACGATTCAACGTGAACCCGTCTCGTGGTAGAATCAAACCGTACCTTGTTTAAGCAACGCGAATTAAATTCCGCTCACAATATTAACACGGAGCGATCTAAGCGGAGCTCAAAACATTCACATGGGATGTCTGACGTAGGGAACGTTAATTCACCTCGACACAAAGAGCCCGCGTATCAATTAACACACACAGAGACGCACACACACAGAGACACACACACAGAGAGACGCACACACACGAGACACGCACACACACACACAGAGACACGCACACACACACAGAGAACACACACAGAGACGCACACACAGAGACACACACACAGAGAGACGCACACACACAGAGACACACACAGAGACACACACACACAGACGTACACACACAGAGAGACACACAAACAGAGACGCACACACACACACACACAGACGCACACACACAGAGAGAGACGCACACACACAGAGACACACACACAGACGTACACACACAGAGATACACACAGAGAGACGCACACACACACAGAGATGCACACACATAGAGACGCACACGCGCGCATGTTGATACGTGAACGTCTTCCCGTAATAGGG